AATTTTTGTAATTTTTTTTTTTTATTTTTTTAAGAAGCTGTCCAAGTTAAATTTAAAAAATCAGATTATGTAATCCATACTTCTTAGAGCAGACTCTGACAACTTTGAGCAACTTAAATAAAGTGATCAGCACAGAACAGCCTATGATGGGATGTGCTTTTTCCCTTTAGCTTGGGTAATGAAATTTAGAGCAGGGGTGCACAAACATTTTCTGTACAGGTCCAGATAGTAAATATTTTAGGCTTTGCGGTCATGTGGTCTCTGTTGCACCTACTCAGCTCTGCTGTTGTGCAAAAGCAGCCATAGACAATGTAAACAGCATGTAAATGAGCATGATGGTATTCCCATACAATTTTATTTAAGGATATTGGAATTTTAATTTCACATAATTATGTAAATTTAATGCTTAATAGACTTTTTTTAGTACAGTTTTAGTGTGGGTAAAAGTAATATTTCCAGAATATCTTGCCTGGCTTTAGTACATCTGCATATCAACAGTTCAGGGGTGGAGAGAAGCGTGACTTTAGTGCATTTGCATATCAATAGACATTCTTCAGGGGTGGAGAGAAGTTCATGTCCATATCAAGGGGTAACTACCTGGGCAACAAAGGGCTTATCTGTATGTGGGAGGTGAGGGGGGAGGGCTGGTTTTGCTTCTGCTGGAGCAGGAAAGAGACATCCCGAAGTGCAGTTTTGTAAGCAATAAATGGGTTTTAAACTTTATTTCTTCCTTTGACTAATTTTGGTTTTAGAGGTATTTTGCCCCAGGACTTCCTCTTCCCCAATTTACATTTAAATATACAGAATAGTGGAGCAGACAGTACACAGGATTCTGTACTCCCACCAACCATCCTCCCAGCTTTCCCCTGTAGGTAACCTCTTGCATTAGTACAGTACATTTATTACAGTTGATGAGCTAGTATTGATGACTAGTAACATTAAAGATCACAGGTTACTTTAAGGTTCACTTTGTGCTGTATTCTGTGGGTTTTGACGTATGTCTAGTGTTCATGTATCTATCTTTACAGTGTCATACAGAGTAGTTTCACTGTCCTAAAAGCCCCTGTGCTCCGCGTGTTCTCTCCCTCCCTCCTCCTGAGCCCCCAGCAACCACTGTTCTTTTTCACTGTTTCCCTTGTTTTGCCTTTTCCCAGAATGCCCTATAGTTGGAGTCGTACAGTATGTAGCATTTTCAGGTTGGCTTCTTTCACCTAGTAATACGCATTTAAGGTCCTTCTATGACTTTTCGTAGCTTCATAGGTTATTTATTTTTCATACTGAATAATGTCACATTGTTTGTATGGCTGTACCACAGCGTATATTAGTTTCCCAGTCTGCCATAGCAAAATGCCATACACTGGGTGGCTGAAACAATAGACATTTATTTTCTGACAGTTCTGGAGGCTGGAAGTCTGAGGTCAAGTGCCAGCATAGTCAGGTTCTGGTGGGGGCTTTCCTCCTGGCTTGTGGATGGCTACTTTCTTGCTGTGTCCTTGGGTAGGAGGAGAAAGGGAGAGGGGGAGTGGAGAGGAGAAAAGGTAGGTAGAAGCAGGGGAGGAGAGAGATATCTCTTGCTCTTCATATGAGGCCACAGTCCTGTCAGATTAGGGCCCCATTCTTACATTGTCATTTAACCTTGATTACCTCCTGAAGACCACCCAGTCTCCTGATGTAGTCATATTGGGGTTAAGGCTTCAGCATATAAATTGAGGGGGTACACAGCTCAGTCCATAGCACACATTTTATCTTACTAAAGGGCATCTGTGTTACTTTCAAATGTTGGTGACTATAAAGCTGCTATAAATATTCATGTGCAGCTTTTTGTGTGGACTTAAGTTTTCACACATTTGGGTAAATAAATACCAGGAACCACAATTGCTGGATTTCATGGTAAAAGTATGTTTAGTTCAATAAGAAAATTAAATTGTCTTCCAAAGTGGCTGTACTGTCTTGCATTCATACCAGCAGTGAATGAATTTGCCGTTGCTCCAAGTCCTCCGCAGCTCTTGGTGTTGCCAGTGTTTTGGATTTGAGCCGTGCTTATAGGTGTGAAGTGCAGTCTCATTGTTTATACTTTGCAGTTGCCTGATAACATATGATACACAGCATCTTTCAGATGCTCAAATTTCACCTGTATATATGCTCATTCTTCTTTCCTCTCTTCTCTTCACATTTGTGCAAAAGACACTTTTTTTGCCACATGAAAGATAATAGGTACCAAGATCAGAAGCTTCTGTCTGCTACTGTGGTTTCTTTCATGTCTTTAGTCTTGTATGAGAAAGTTCTGTTTGCCTTCTTGCACCAATTCTCCTGATGACACTGCTTTCCCTAAAGCGTTGGCGAATGGTGGCTATTTTCATTCTCAAAACCTTTTTACCAGCCCTTCGAAGGTGGCATAGATGTCTTCCTTGTTTTTCACTGCTGCTTTTAAATCATTCTCCTTCCATCCTCCCTAAAAACATCTAGGTTTAAATCTCACATTGTCCCAATATGCTTGTAAGATAAATTCTAGCGGAAATAAGCAGGCGACGAGAGGCAACAAAGGGCCAGGTAGTTTATTTGAGCGCAATTCCCGGGCGAGGTTAACCAGTCTGCAGGGACGCGGGCTGGGGGAGTCGCACCCAGGAGGGGTAAGAGAACAGGGAAGAGAGGGGGAAGTGGGCTGCGCTAGGGGTATGTGGGGAATTTATATTGGCTCAGGGTCGGGTGATGGACAGCCAGACGTCTCCTCCTTCCGGATGGAGGGGGTCTGCATCCTGCTTTGTCGCAAGTCATGGGACTGGAATCCAGGAAGAGCTGTTCGTTCCTTCCCCATACGGCACAGACCTACTTGGTGCTGTCCTGCCCCGCCTGCTTCGTCCTCGCCCTTCTCCCTCCGGTACCTCCAGCCTTAGGTGCTGTGCTCTGCCTGTCCCTGTTAATAGTCATCTGCCAATTCCTCAGTCATTCTCCCTCAGTGTTTGAAAAATTTTAGCATCTGGTTTACTACCAACACTCCTTCTGTCATGATTCCTGGGTGATACCAGATACTTGAGATAACCCTCTCATTTCCTGGGCCTTTTTTCCACCAGTGGTCTTGCCTTCTAGATCCTGTCTCAGCCATTTACTCCCTGACCATAAGTGTAAACCTTGTCATTACCCATTACCAGTAACACTATCTCAGTTTCAAACATCCTGTGACCACCGCTTCCCGTCTTGCCAGCTCAACTTTTTCACTGTTTCCCTTGTTTTGCCTTTTCCCAGAATGCCCTATAGTTGGAGTCGTACAGTATGTAGCATTTTCAGGTTGGC